GATAGATAGATAGATAGATAGATAGATAGATAGATAGATAGATAGATGGATGGACAAAGCCACAGGGCCATAGCGGGGGCACACTTGTAATCCCAATCCCAACACTCAGAGAGGCAGAAGCAGGTGGTTCTCAGTGAGAAGCAGGTGGTTCTCAGTGAGTTCAAGGGCAGCCTGATCTACAAAGCGAGTCCAAGACAGCCAAGGCTACACAGAGAAACCTTGTCTCGGAAAAAAAAAAAAAAAAACATAGCATACCATAGCATTCTTTATTATTACCAGAAGGAAAATAAAATGTATGAATTTCTATAGATATCAAGTTACCTTTGTGCTGGCCAATACAAGTTCACAGCTTCTTTGATAAGTACTGCCCTAAAAGACCTGTCGTTAAGTCTCAGAGAGACCTAAAGCACAAACAGTGTAAAAGTCTACAGTGACAATTCATGCTAGATTCCAGAGAAGGGCCATTGTGCCGAACTAGATGCTCAAAGATATTAAGGTTTCTACAATGTTCCTTCACTAACATAGACACACCCACACATCAGAAATTAGAAAAACTACGCAGAGCATGACCTACCTCTAGCAACATCTTCACATCCCAAGCATCTTTTTCTTCATTTGGGTAACTTTTTGCCATATTGAAGTGTCTTTCACCAGGTTTTACTTCTTGTGGAGACTTGAGAATTCGAATCTATACTTAAGAGAGAACATCCTTAGAACAATTCCAAAACATCCTAAGACTTTCACTGCATTATTTCATTACTTTAAAAACAAACCAACAAAAAGTATCTATCCAGGCATGGTGGCATATACTTTTAGCCCTAACTCCTAAGGCAGAGGCAGCTAGATCTCTGTGTTTAAGGCTAGCGTGATATACATAGTGTATTCCAGGATAGTCAGGGCTGTCTGGAGAGACCTTGCCTTAGGGGGAAAAAAAAAACACACCAAATAAAAGACTAAAATCCCAGCATCTGAAAGCTAAAGAGATTTCAGCAGCTAAAGAGCATTTGTTCCTACTCAGGTACCAGGTTTGGTGCCCAGCACCCACATGCAAGTTCACAACCTTTTATAACTTTAAATCGTAAAACAAACAAACAAAACACCATCTACATAACCCTGGCATTTGGCATGCCAAGACAGGACAGCACTTCAAGTTCAAGGCCAACTTGGGCTCCAGAGCCAAAGCCCGTCTCAAAACCTAAAGACCCAAACCATACATATGCATGCATACACATACACTCATGCACACAGGCAGACAGATAGACAGACAGAAACACACACTCAACTGCCTATGTCTATAAGAAATGTTTTGCAACCCAAATTCTTTAGCTCAATATTCAATGTTCAAGAAATCTGATAAGCATATGGTGTAGAAAACATGTCAATGTTTATATTATTTATAAAATTATAAATTCTCACATCCTCTATATTTACTTGAAAAAAAAACCTGAGAACTTGGGTTACATAAACCTAAGGCATTTATTACAATTATAGCTAATAATTTAAAAATGAAGGGTTGGGATGAACATCACTTCTGTACCATAAGTATAAGAGACTATAAAAACAAGCTTCTCCTTGCATGTGTGTTTAGGACAAATTCCTTTTAAACCCACAAAGAAGAAAGGAACAAAAGTTTGTGAGCAGAGACTTTGGGAATGACAGAAGCCACGGTCCCTTCTCTCTGCACCAATATCATGGTAAGCTTACAGGTGAAGGTCAAGGCCAATTCTGATAAGTATCTGGAAGCCCAACATGACTACATGCCTAAATTACATCCTCCGGCTCATCTTAAATGGTTTAAAGAAAATGGCATTTCTGTTTCCTATATTATCTAATATTCTTCAATAGTTTCCAAGTTCCTAAGGCAAAAAGGAAATATTTACTGCTCCCTAAAAACCTGAACAGAGTGTAGTAAAACCAGTAAGTGTTTTACATCATCAATAGGGAATAATATCCAATATAACATAAAATAAAAAGCTGCAGGGCCTAGAGTGTACAACATACTGCCAGCATGCTAAATACAGACTTACCTGTAGACCTATAGTACACAAGCACACACAGCATCTTTGGAAAGCTAAGCCGTGACTGATCTAGAGTGCACTATGTAGATCAGGCTGCCTGGAACTTGCAGAGGTCCTTCTGCCTCTGCCTGCCAAGAACTAGAATTACAGACATGCACCACCAAGTGATATATACTAAGTAGGTTTTGTTTGTAGTCTACCTTTTCTTTTTTAATCTAAGCTGTAGGACTATATGTTTTAATAAAAAGAAGCTGAAAATTATATCACAATATGTATTTTCCAAAGCAATACTCAATTTCCAAACCACCGAGGTCAATTTTTTAAAAATAATTTATTTTAATTTTATTTTATGTGCATTAATGTGAAGATGTCAAATCCCTTGACACTGGGTTTAACAGACAGTTGTGAGCTGCCATGTGGGTGCTGGTATTGAACCTGGGTCCTTTGGAAGACCAGAGAGTGGTCCTAACCACTAAGCCATCTCTCCAGGGGCCCCCAAGGTCAATTTTTTTTTTGTTTTATTTATTAATTCATATGTGGGTGTAGTGGCTAGTTTTTTATCTTTATAATTTTTAATTTATTACAACTTATTCACTTTGTACCCCAGATGTAGCCCCACCTTTGTCCCCTCCCAATCCGGCCTTCCCTCCCTCCCTCATCTCCTCTCATACCCCTTCCCCAGTCCACTGATAGGGAAGGAACCCCCCACCCCTTCAATCTGACCCTAGCCTATCAGGTCTCATCAGGACTGTCTTTCATAGTCTTCCTTTGTGGCCTGGTAAGGCTGCTCCCCCCCTCAGGGGGAGGTGATCAAAGAGGCAACCACTGAGTTCATGTCAGAGACTGTCCCTATTCCCCTTACTAGGAAGCCAGTTTGGAGACTGAACTGCCACAGGCTACCTCTGTGCAGGGGGTTATCTCCATGAATGGTCCTTTGTTGGTGTATCAGTCTCAGAAAAGACCCCTAGGCCCAGATTTTTTGGTTCTGTTGTTCTCCTTGTGGAGCTCCAGACCCTTCTAGGTCTTTCTATCTCCCCCTTCTTTCATAAGATTCCCTGCACTGTGCCCAAAGTTTGGCTATGAGCCTCAGCATGTGTTTTAATGCCCTGCTGGGTAGTAGGCTCCTGTCTTGTTCCTTATTTTCACCTTCTTCTGATGTCTATCCCGTTTGCCTTTCTGGATGAAGTTTGAGCATCTTACCCAGGGTCCTCCTTCTTGTTTAGCTTCTTTAAGTGCACAGATTTTAGTATGATTATCCTACATTGTATGTCTAATATCCACCTATAAGTGAGTATATACCATATATTGTTTTTCTGCTTCTGGGATAGCTCACTCAGGATGATCTTTTCTAGTTCCCACCATTTGCCTACAAATTTCATGATTTCCTTGTTTTTAATTGCTGAGTAGTATTCCATTGTGCAGATGTACAATTTCTGTACCCATTCCTCAACTGAGGGACATCTCGGTTGTTTCCAGATTCTGGCTATTACAAATAAAGCTGCTATGAACATGGTTGAGCAAATGTCCTTGTTGTATTCTTGAGCATCTTTTGGATATATGCCTAGGAATGCTACAGCTGGATCCTGAGGTAGCACAATTCTTAATTGTCTAAGAAAGCGCTAAATTGATTTTGAAAGTGGTTGAACAAGTTTACATTCCCACCAGCAGTGGAGGAGGGTTCCCCTTTCTCCACATCCTCTCTAGCATGTGCTCTTGATGTTAGACATTCTGATGGGTGTAAGGTGAAATCTCAGGGTCGTTTTGATTTGCATTTATTTCCCTGATGACTAAGGATGTTGAGCATTTCTTTAAGTGCTGCTCTGCCATTCGGTATTCCTCTATTGAGAATTCTGTTTAGCTTTGTACCCCATTGTTTAATTGGATTACTTGATTTGTTGCTGTTTAACTTCTTGAGTTCTTTATATATTCTGGATATTAGCCTGAGGTCAATTTTTAATGAGAATAATTATGATGGTTCTAGAGTAAAACTGTCAGCATGCTTTATCAGCTAAGAAACAGGAGAGAAAAGACTACTGCTGTGTATAAAGGCTTCCCCTGCATTGTATTGAGTAAATTTTCTGACTACAGAGTCAAAATTGTAGGATTCCATCAGAATCTCCTTTGCTCTTCTCAGAAATACGAGAGGTATAAAATTTGAATATCCTGTCATTACTGATTTATATACTAAATTCTAACTAACTAAAGTCTGAAACACAGTCAGAGGGAAAAGAAAACACTACAGGAAATGAACTATAATTAACAAGAGGATTATTATAGCATTAAGAGGTTTCATTCCTAAAATAACCCTCAAGACAGAAACTTTATTAACTAATATTAAATACCAAAAACACAATTTATCATCAAAAAAAATCACAAAATGAGAATGTTTATAATTAATATTAAGCTAGGTTTTGAAAAAAATAAAAATATTTACAATACATAATCTCATGGATCAACACAAGACCTACTATTGATGAATACCTGTTCTATCTGTATTCCATAACCTTTAAATCCTGCATTATCCCATGAAGTGTTCCGGTATATGTCATCAACACGGTCAATTAGCTCGATCTGTGGATATAAAAGGTAAAGTTATGTAGAACTCTACTATTCTTTGCAAATGTAATAAAACCTACTGAATAAACATCTAGTAGAGAAAAATGTTATGAAAACTGGCATTAAGAAGCTAATCTTTATTACTGATGGGTCTATCAAAGAAGTTATCCCTAAGACCAAACTTAAAATATTGCTACAAGAAATAAGGTTACTGTCTGTACCTAACCTTGGGCTTTTAAGATACTGCCATTCAGTATCTATTCAGTCAACTATGAATACGAGTCAACTGATTTACCAGAAACCCTAAGAAGCAGTAGGTCTCTATTCTGGATCACATTCATGGTATACGATATGAAGAAGTAAAATACAAGGAGTCCTTTAATACAAAACCCATATGAATATTTTTCAAGAAAGACTGTCTTGCTTAGGAACAAGAATGACAATGATTCCCACTCTTCTCCTAATAAATTCATCCATGTGACAGAAGAAAAGAAGGCTGAAGCCGAGCTGGAATAAAATGGAGAATGGGAAAGGAGGCAATGAGAAAGCCGTCTTTGCTGCATCAGGCTACTGACTCATGAATAGCTGCACTCTCTTTTATTCCCTCAATGACGACATTTTAATCAGTGCCAAGTCACTAAGATGAATGGGGTCATACTGAGGAAAAAAAAAATCCTGGAGAGAAATCATTTCCTTGACTTTAAAAATTTAGTAGCTGGTGCTAGAAGTTCCATGTCAGACTGGGGATATAGCTCAGTGAAAGGGCAACTGCTCAGCAGACATGAGTCCCTGGGTCTGAGCGCCAGAACTGTATTAACACTTCTTTAATCTTTCCTTCCTATCTCTGCCCCTAGAGTTAACTACGGCTATGAACGTCTCACTTATTTCATACACTATCCTAAGGTTGTATCTTTAACATGACAATAACATACCTCTGTGGAATACAGATACAAGCAGAAAATATACACTATAAGTCCACACAAGTATGTATTTTATAAGCATAAATCTATACATGTGACACTAACATTTGTAAAGAATCCATTTGTATAAAGAAAGAACATTATAAATGTTCCTCTAATTTAGCATGTAGAAAAAAGTCTAATGTACAGAAAAATAGTAATTTTAAAGCAAAATTCTTTCTTGTAATTTTGCACTATAGTTTCTATGTAGAAATGTAAGATCCTAGTAAATGGCCCTCAGAATCTCAGAAAAAAAATAACTGTCTGGAGCAGGAATGGTTTAAGTTGTGAATTACTGCAGCCTTCTCTTCACAGAATTAATTTACCTACATAAATGACGTGCTGAATTTAGCCTGAATGTCGCCAAATACTTACTAAGTAATTTGTAGTGGTGCTCTCTTCTCCTCGGCCCATGTATTTATAGAATCGATGATCTGCTACCACCAGTAACTTACAAGTATTCTTCAAGGGGTTAGGTTCAGCCCGTCTCTTCACTCGACGAACAAACTCTAATATGAATTTGTATGCACTATTAAATTAAAATTCATCAAAACAAGGAGGGTTTTTTATAGTAACACTTAGTTCTAATATGCTTCTGAAACAAACATTATTTAAGTTTAATACCATTAAAGGTATCTTTTTCTTTTCTGGGGGAAGGGTGGAGACAGGCTCTCATGAAGCCTTGGTGGATCTCGAACTCACTATATAGTCAAGAATGACCTTCAACTTCTGTTTCTCCTGCCTCTACCTCCCAAATGCGAGGAGAATAGTCATGCACTATCACATCTGTCCTTAATGGTTATCTTGAAATAATAATAATAATAATTTGGAAAAAGCCAGAAAAGTAGAAAGCAACATAAGGTTTAAAATTGTTGAATTCTACCAGGCGCAGTGGCACACACCTGTGATCTCAGCACTCGGAGAGGCACAGGTCTCTGTGAACTCACAGATCTCTGTGAGTGCGAGGTTAGCCTGGTCTACAAAGCAAGTCCAGAACAGCCAAGGTTACACAGAAAACCTTGTCTCAAAAAAGTAAAAAAAATAAAAATAAAAATAAAAATAAAAATAAAAACCAATGTAGCTTGCGATACGGAAGATGTTAGTCCAAACCCCACCACCGCAAAAGAAAATAACTTTTCATATATGTTTAATACAGTAAAATAATCATTACTAGGCAATGAAGCCATTGGTCATTTTCTTCTAGAACTCTATGAATTAATCAAAGTAAAAGTAAACAAACAACAACCAAAAAAAAGGGTCATGGTAATTATACATTAAAACTTAAGCAATACTGAGTCAGGTGTGATGGCACACATCTGTAATCCAGCATTTAGGAAGCCGCGGTAAGAGGACCGAGAGTTGAAGGCCATCCTGAGCTATACAGCAGACCTTGTTTAAAATGATTTAAAAGCCCTGGGTATTTGGAAGTGTCTCTAAGACCATCATTGTGAGGCTACAATCTTTCTAGCTCCCTGGTACAAGCCTCTCTAATATTTACCTATACTCACAAGCAAACATGTATTTATGGAGTGTGTAGACAAATGCACATAGCCATCTGAATACCTACAAGTAGATACATTTAGAAACATTCATAGACATACCCATGTTCACTGGGTTGGCTACTTTGTCAACTTGACACAAGCTAGAGAGCCATATGGAAACAGGAAACCTCAACTGAAAAACAACCTCCAGCAGACTGGCATATAAGCAAGTCTGTAGGCATTTCTTTGATTAACCATTAATATGAGAGTGATCTTGGATTGTACCAAAAAAAAAAAAAAAAAAAAAAAAAAGCTAGAGCTGGGCTGGAGAGATGGCTCAGCAGTTGGGAGCATTGGCTGCTCTTTTAGAGAACACGGGTTCAATTCCCAGCACCCACATGGCAGCTCACACCTGTCAGTAATTGCAGTTCCTGAGGATCCAACACCCTCACACAGACAGACATACAGGCAAAACACCAATATACATGAAATAACAGTAAATTTTTAAAAATATTAAGTCAAAAACAAAAAACAAAGCTAAAGCAAGGTATAGTAGTGCATGCCTCTAATCCCAGCACTCAAGAAGCAGAGACAGGTGGATCTCTAGGCTTGAGGCCAGCCTGGTCTACAGAGCAAGTTCCAGGACCGCCAGGGCTCCACAAAGAAACCCAGTCTTTAAAAACAAACAAACAAAAGAATAAGCTGAAGGAGCCACGAGGAGCAAACCAGTAAGTAGCAACCCTCTTCTGCTGCAGTTCCATCCCTAAGTTCATGCCTCGACTTTTCTCTGTAATGAACTGTGAGCTACAAGGTCAAATAAAATCTTTCCTCCACAGTTGCTTTTGATTGTGGTTATTTGTCACAGCAATAAAAAGCACACTAAGACATTCACACTTTCAGTCTAAGAGCCTCACTAAAGCAAGTAGAGCAAAATCACCAGTACATCTTCTTAATGAAATTGTGTACACACATAGCTATAAGCAAATGTATCCTTGTAACAAAAAGTTTAAAAGATTAGTCATTATTAACAGAAGTCTTATCAAATACTCTAATTGTTTGAGAATTTATTATCAATATCCTAAAATATTAATAATGCTTTTCAAGATTTTCACAAATAATGACAGCAAGCCTGACATGCCTGCAATCCCACCTCCCCAAGAGTCAGAGGCGGAACCACTTGAGCCATGCAATTCAAGCCAACCTGAGCAACATATCAAGACCTTGCCTCTTTAAAAACATAAAAATAAAAATAACAAAGAACACCACTGCAACAGTTTTTTTTTGTCCTAAGTGACCCCAAAAAGATTGTGCATGACTGATAGCCTATGTGTATTTCAAACACCACAAAGCTCTCTTGCCACCTGACTCATCTCTTACAAGTGCTAAAGACCATTTTTCAAAAATGTCTCTTTCCTTGATCTCTTTTATTGTTGTACCTATTGTTTTCTAGTGTTTTCAACTATTACTGAACAGAAAAAAAAATTTAAGAGTTTCTGTAACAAAACTATATTTTCAAAGCAAACACTAGAGTTACTTAATAATTATGCTATTTTTATCAATTAACAAACACCCTACTGGAAACCACTGTGATGTACTTACGTCATGTCTGAAATATATTTTAAGTCTTACCTTCAGGTGGCTCTCTGTCTATGAGCCCTTCTGGAAGCAACTCTTCACTATCCGCTTTTAAATAACCACACACTTTTGGAGATTGCAAACGTGAAACATCCTTGATATCTTCAGACTTATAAACTAACATTCTTTTATCTTTAGTATCATTAACAAACCTCCAAAGTGGCTAAAAAGGAAAAACATAGTTGACAAAATAGAAAAAAAAATAAACTTCTAAACATTAAATAATATTCTCACAACTCTTTGTTCTTAGGTAATATTGTTTTCTAGACAATAAATTATTTTTTTATCTTATAATCTCTACACTACAAATAAATTCACAATTATTCACTATGTTATGCGTATTTCTGTACAAGGTAGTATAGAAAAAAAGTCTACCCTTTTCCATAAACCACTTTAAATATCTCTGTAATTTCTACTCTACTCCAGTGTTGTTACAGGTGGTCATGTTGCAGTGATGTCAGGTGACATTCCTATTATGTGGTGCTTTCACTCCATTTTCCTTTAACATTCAGACATTCGCTATCATTTTGCCATGATAGATTTTACACACAGCAAGAATGCTTACCAAAAAAAATGTTTACAAGAGATGACTGAAAACTCCTAACAATATGCTTAAACCTTCTACTGATTTCGGAGAAAGCATGTCTCTGTTTGTTTTAAGCCATGATTTCGACCCCCAGCACCACAGAAACAAGATGCTAGAAGAGTCTGCATTCATAACATGGCTAGTCCACAGTAAATACAACTCGTATACTCTGAAGGGTACACAGTCAAAAGGGCTGTTTCCATTTTTACAAAGCAAATGTTTTCTGTAAATATTCTAGTCTCAGCTGTGATGAATGTAAAGCAGGACATAAAGTCATGCGTGTACAAGAAAAATAAATAAGACACCATTTCATACCCATTCAGTCGTCTACAATCAGACACATTCTGGTGAGGCTCTAGAGAAATGAACCCTCACACAAACTGCAGAGAATGCTGAAGCCCTAACATAAGACAAAATATCCTCCTACACAGACACATAGGAAGACTCAATCTCAAAAACAAAATGAAACAACACACCGGAAATTTCCTAAGACTGGTCACCCAGACCATTCCAATTAAATATATACACCCAAGAGCATGTTCCAAGGCTGTTCATGCTACAAATTTCTGTTTCAAGAAATCAAAACACAGTGGGGCATGGTGACACACGTCTGTAATCTCAGCACCCTGAGAGGCAGAGGCAGGTGGATATCTCTGAGTTCAAGGCCAGCCTGGTCTACAAAGTGGGTCCAGGACAGCCAAGGTTTCGAGAAACCCTGTCTTGAAAATAAAATAAATTAAAAATAAAAATAAAATAAAGCACAATAACTGATCATCAGCAGAGGACTGGATAAACAATGGTCTACCTAGAAGCCTTCACTGAAAAAAAAAACTTCATTTAGATCTATATTTATTAACTTGAAAAGATATGCATAATTATATTGCTAACTGAAAATGTATGATGACAAACTATATATTTTGTGAACCCAGTTTTGCAAGAACGAAGAGCCACACCTGGTGTGCCTATCAACAGTAAAGCAGGCAACAAGCATGAAGAGGCCTGGGCTCAATTATTAGCACCACAAACAAGGAAGGTGGCATAATTATAGTATTTAGAATTAGGTTTCTTAAAGCATCCTGGCTCTCCCTATGTAGCTCAAACTGGCCCAGAGCTCACTATGTAGCCCAGACTGACCTTGAGCTCACAGTGATCCTCTTGCCTCTGCCTTCCTGAGTGCTAAGCAGAGAACTCGTGTCAATCTTCCTGCCTGAGCTGCCCAAGTGGGATCTCAGGTGTGACCCACCATACTTAATTAACCTTAGCATCTTAAAACAACCAAAAAGCTCTGTAAAAATCAGAGAGACAAGCTACTGAGAGAAAGACAATTCCAACGGAAGGCAGACAGGAAAAGAGGCAGTAGATCAGGAGTTCAAGGCCAACCTTAGCTACCTAGCCAGTCAGAGGCCACCATGGGCTATAAGAGACCCTCTTTCAAACTCCTGCCCTCAAATACAACCCTCTTACGTGTAGACTTACCTCTATGTTATATTCTGCCCCATCTGTGTTGATTCTTACTGTAACATCATCATCTCCTATGTGGGCCAGAACCCTAGAGTCAGGCTCACCTTGAGGAAAAAAAGGTATTTTTATTATCAAAAATCTCTGTTTCAGGGCCAGCAAGAAGGATCAGCAGGTCTAACAGCCCCTGTCACCAAGCCTGATGACCTGAACTAGATCCCTGGGACCCACACGTAGAGTACTAACTCCCACAGGTCTTCTGACCTCCATATGTGCATACACACATACCAATACATAAATGCAAAAGAAAGATTGTCAAATAATAACCTATTCACTGTTGGCAATAAAAAAAAAAATCAGATAAGCCCTTCACCAACTTGGTCTTTACCTTGGTAGACTGAGAGCTCTGCAAACTGGAAACACAGGCCTGAAAAGGCCCAGCACCCCAGTCTCCTCCAGAAGAGAAACAGGTCAGAAAACGTGACACCTACCCACTTCCCTTTGTATAATTTAACCTAAATTTGTTTAGGAAAGAAAGAAGACTCTATAATCTCTGCTGCCAGGAAGCTGAGGCAGGAGGGCTGTCATGAGTTGCAGATCAGCCTAGGCTACCCAGTGAGACCCTGTCTCAAAAAACTAACTAAGGGAAGTTAGCTGGGCATGGTGGTATTCACCTTAATCCCAGCACTCAGGAGACAAGACAGATCTCTCAGGTCAAGGCCAGCCTGGTCTATAGAATGAGTTCCAGGACAGCCAGGGCTACATAGAGAAACCCTACCTCAAAAATAAAAATAATAAAGTATAATAATAGCAACAACTAAGAAAAACAGGAAGCACAATTTAGAATATGTACGTGTCAACAGTAATTTCGAGCTTTCCATGCCATTTCCTTTTTTTTAATCACAGAAAAAAGTAAAAAGCAAACTTAGCCAGGTGTGATGCCTCACACATCTGGAGGCTGACGTGGGATAGGTCAACAGTGCACTTGAGACCAGTCTGGGCTACATTAAGAGGACAAGAGGGAAAGAGGAAAGCTAGCTAAACAACATCTATTTCCTCCTATTAGAATGTTTCTGTTCCCAAACTTACACAGCTCAAATAAAAACATGTAGCATACTATGACCTCTTTCTTTATTCATCCACCAACATGAAAAAGAAAAAAAAGACTTTGTAATTAAAGTTAGAGCCCTATGATGGTCTGAATTATTAAATGCCTCTTAAAGATTTATGTGTTCAAAGCTTAGTTGCCAGCTAGATTTTGAGAGGTGACTAGACTACGCGGATTCCAACTTCATCAAGACTGATCCATTGATGAATTCATAACTGAATGAACTAATTAGAGAAGGAAACTACTTGAAAAACATAGCTCATGGGCCAATATCTTTAAAGGAGGCCTTGTCCCTATACCCCTCTCTTTTCTCCATGCTTCCTGGAAGACCACTGTGAGGTGAGCTGCTTCCTCCATCACAAGCTTCTGCATCATACCATCAGCCCATCTAACCTCAGATCTAAAACCTTGTGAACCAAACCCTCATAAACCATGCACTGACATAAATCCTTTCTCTTTCTATTTATGTCAGGTACTTCATCACACAAAAAGGGACAAGCATAAAACACAACAGTCCAGAAGCACTGCAAAATGCAAGCCCCATACTAACCAACCACATGTCCGCTGAAGAAGTCCTGCCACTTCACGCTGTACTCGCTTTCTTCTTTTCCATCCACCACCACAACTCTGAAGTTTTGTGCAAAGCGTTCAGTACTTGATGTCAGGTATAATTTAAAATGCCTGAAGGGAGAGTGCATTCACAGTTTAAAGATACAAAATTAAAAAAAAAAAATGGGGGCTGGAGACATGGCTCAGAGGTCAAGAGCACCGACTGGTCTTCCAGAGGACCTAGTTTCAATTCCCAGCACCCATAGAGCAGCTCACAACTGTCTGTAACTTAAAGGTCTGACACCCTCACACAGACATACATGCAGGCAAAACACAAATGCACATAAAATAAAAACAAATAATTAAAATAAAATAAAATAGAGACCTAATTTTCACTTTAAGATCTAGATGAGACGAGATGAACAAATCTCTACCCAAGTTATACATAACTATGTAATATTTCTAAGAATTATAATGTGTACTCACTTTGAAAGCACATACACTAAAATTATAATGACAAAGTAGATTAGCATGGACCTATGCACAAGGATGACATGAATATTTGTAAACCATTCTATATTTTTTCCTCTGAAATAAAAAGATTTATTCCATTATTCGGTGTGTCTGTATGTGGCATGTATACATATGAGTACACATATGTACTCAGTAGGAACAGAAGAATGTGCTGGATCTCTTGAAGCTAGAGTTACAAGTGGTTGTGAGCCATCCAACATGGGTGCTGGGAAACTGTAGTTTCCTGCAAAAGCAGCAACTACTTTAACTGCTAAGTCATCGCTCTAGACCCATAGCAGCTAAGCACTTACTAGGTACATATAGCATTATTTCTCCAGTAAAGACAAATGGACTGTTTTAAAACTTTAGCAGAATAAAAGAAACTAATTATAAAATAGTCTTTAATGAGGGCATGGGAGCTAGCAAGGTAGCTCATAGGTAAAGGTGCTTGCTCCCATGCCCGACAACCTGAGGTTCAATCTGTGGGACCTACATGATGAAGAGAGAACTCACTGACACAAATTGTCCTCTTACCTCCATATGTATGCCATGGCACATGTGTCCACACACATACACGCACTAAAAGAAAGAAACAATGAGGGACCTCTGACTGTTTGAGAGTTCCACGCGACTGTTTTTCTCTTGTAGTACTGAGACCCATTTGAAAAGATTGGAATCCAGGCTGTTTTTACAGCACTGTGTGAACAAACACAAGGGCAGTGTGCAGCCATGCTGTAGTGGTTTCTTTTGCAGCATAGTGCTCTGGTGTCACCCTTCCTCCATTCTGAGGCTGTTTGAGCTGCAGGCACCTGCTGTCTTAATTTTTACAGAGTAAGATTATTCCCCACATTTCTAAGTATTATACAATCTGTATTTGCCAAAAGTATTGTTACATTAAGTGAATCTGTATATCTTAGTTTAAAGAATGTAATTTAAAAAATACAATTGTCATATTCTGTATAGTCAAGAAAGGAAGAAAGGAACAAAGAAAGGAAGGAAGGGAAGAGGAAGGGAGGGAGGGAGAAACGGGTGGGGGAGAAAGAGAAGCAAGCAAGCTCATTAGCTAATACTTGGGGAATGAGGGTAAAAACAGGCATTTATCTTTCCTGGAAACTGATTAATAAGGAAGGTATGGACAGTTTAAGAATGAAGTTGGGTGTCTTGCGTATCTCAGAAATTCACCATTAAAGACTGTGTTACATGACATTAATTACATCAACTTGCTCTTAGATAACCTGTATATTATCTCTACTTCATAAAAGAGATAGTCACACACTCAGGTTACATAGCTAGCAAACTGAAACTCAATAATAGACTCGCTTATTCAAAAACCAAGGAATTTGTATTTCACCGCTTCTAGCAATCAAGCTGGTATCCTGCAGGAGGACTCTTACTACTACTGTGTACAATTACTAAAATTCTGCTTCTGTATTTATTTCAAAATAACCATGTTTTTTTCCTCCTTAATAGAAGCTACCTTGAATAACAGTAATATATAATTACTACTGAGAAAATAGATACAAAGCTTCTAAATGCAGATATTAAAATAAATACATTCCATCTCTTTATATTATTTAATACTTTAAAAGCATGTTCATCTAAAATAAAAACTTGGCATAGTGAGGCAGACTTTGTCAATATTAACAGAGACCTTTCAATGTGCCCACTAATACCCAAGGCAAAGGAAGACATGTGATTCATCTCAGCCATAGGAACAAATTTTGTCAGCTATGGTGTTGAAAATATGAAATGTTACTTCCCTGTGGGTATGTATAAATCTTTCAAATGCCAAGAAGAAATCCAGACTGGGACTGTATCCAGAGCAACAAGTATTTTTAACTTTTTGAGCATACAAGGTAATTTTAGTTTTGCTTATATATTTTTTGATGGTCAGAGAGACACAATACAGCATTTCATAAAACCTTGGCTCATTTCCTCTGCTATCCAAAACCGTGTCCTCCTACGTTGCACATTATCATTAAGTTCTCTCCACTGTGGCTGGACCCTGAGAAGAAAAGCGCCCTATTACAAATGCCCTATTCAGTGGGAAAGCTCCCCGTGAGTTGTACTAGTGTCTCTAATGTTCTTCTTGGGAAAGCCCCAGAAACTGCATTCTGGATTTTCTGCATTAAGAATCTGCATTAAGAATCAAGACTGGGTAGACCTACCTTAGTGGGGAGGGTACTTGTCATGCCAACGTGAGGATCGATTTAAAACAAAAAAAGTGGCAGATAATAGCTGATGCCCAAAATTGTCCTTTGATCTCCATATACCCGCAGTACCATGCATACATCTACACTTGTACTCATGAACAACACAATTTTTCTAAAAACTAATCTTGCTGTAAGGTTAAAAAATAAAGCCCAGTAATGATAAAATTTATGTTTTTAAAATTGTATGATCTTGGAGCCAGGCATAGTTGCGTGCACCTATAATCCTAGCACTCTGAGAGGCTGAAGCAGGTGTATCTCTGTGACTTTGAGGCCAGCCTGGTCTACAAAGTGAGTCCAGGACAGCCAAGGCTACAAGGATAAACCCTATCTCGAAAAAAAAAAAAAAAAAAACTGTATGATCTTAACATCAACTTTTATAAACCTCCAGATAGTACGTCAGGTAAAACCATTTTTATCAATTTTTTCATTATGTAAAATAGGTATTTATTTATTTGTATCAGCAAGGAAACAAAACTCAGAAGGCAAATTTGAAACAAGGTTCCTTTTTCATACACTACTATTCATGATGCAACCACTTCAGTATTCATTCCATGCTTTTCAACCTCTAATGCTCACTTCCAAATCTAATGTATTCTGGTTTAAGTTATTTTGTTCTCCACTGCTATCTGAAAATGAGAATCTTAGCCTGGATTCTTAGTGGTGGCATGTGTAGCCCTGGCAGCCCTGAAATTCCCTGTGGAAACTATAATGGCTCAGACCTCACACAGATCCCCCTGCCTCTGGCTCCAAGTGCTGGGTTAAAAGAATGCACCACTATGCACAGCTTAGAGTAACATGTTCTTAATGAACATTTTCTGAATGTCACTTGTGAAACACAAGAGAGATACATAAAACCAACAAAATATCTGCCCCTATCACACGTAAGGACTCCACAAGCTGCCTCAAATCTATGGAAAGAGAGAAAACTCAGTTTTCAGTTCTCATTTTGTACCTTCTTCCTTCCTCCTACATACTAAAAACATTTTACTACTGTTTTGTTTTTTTTTTTTTTACTTACTGTGTGCATATGTGCGGGCACACACTAGCCACAGTGTACACATGCAGGGAGTCTCTCTTACCATGAAGGTGGAGGGGTGGAGCTCAGGTTGTTAGCAGGCACCCTCACACTAAGCCATCTCCCTTCCCAGCCACTCCTCAACACACTTCCCACCAGCGCTGTAGACATAACTTAATTCTGGAATCCTATTTGTGCACAAACAGCTCTCTACTGTGGGCATTTAACTTCTATGAGCCACAGGCATGTGCCTTCAAAAAGGAAACAACTATGAAGAGAATGGTTAGAATTAGAGATAAGTTATGTCAAGTGCCCAGTAAACAATAGTTTTGAGGTTGGTTGGAAGCTAGATAGTCAATATTATATCTGTAATCACTATTGTACTATCTGTATATAAATCTTAAAAGTTACTGAAAGATACCATACAGATAGATATGGCAATAACTAGAAAAAAAAATACTATTAAAAACTTCTTGCAGCTGGGTGGTGGTGACGTATGCCTTCAATCCCAGCACTCGGAAGGAAGAGGCAGGTGGATCCCTGTGAATTCGAAGCCAGCCAGGTCTACAGAGTAAGTTTCAGGACAGCCAAAGCTACACAGAGAAACCATGTTTCAAAAAAAAAAAAAAAACAACAACAAACAAACAAACAAACAAAAAGAAAAAACTTCTTGCACAAAATATCAGCAACGTGCCAACAACTAACCAATTTCCTGAATGTCCCAAGCAATAATATAATTCAGGGAGTCAAAAAGAACTCAACAGAAAAAATGGTGAAAGCATAATTCACAGAAAGGAAATGAAATGATACTCAATTTCATTTGATATACAAATCAAAACAACTCTGAGATATTTGCCCTTGGAGAAGATGAAAGCTATATGCTGATATAACCTAGAGCACTAGGCTGGGGACATAAGTGCAGCTGGCAGAGTGCCTGCCTGGCAGACACCAGGCCCTGGATTCCCCAGTACCACAAAGAACCAGGTACGGAGGCACATTTCTGTAATCCTAGCACCTGAGAGGTAGAAAGTTTCTGCAAGTTCAAGGCCAGTGAGGTCTACACAGTGAGTTCCAGCCCAGTGAGGGCCACACAGCAAGACCTTGTCTCAAAAGTATATAAATAAATAATCTGATTCAATTTAAAACACTATTATTTTTCAGGGAGTAGTAATAAGTCAAATTCTAGACATGTTCATATCAGATGAAAATGTATTCTGTTATTGGCTGAACTCATTAACATAGTAAGGTAATGCTAGGTAGGCATATACATTTTAATCTGTATGCAAAAACTTTGCACTGAAGGGGCATCGAGACCGCTCACTGGGCAAAAGCTCTTGCTGCCAAGATGGTCCCAGTTTGATTCCTGGGACTCACAGAGTGGAAGGTCAGAACCAACTCCTACAAGTTGTCCACTGATCTACATATGTGCTGTAGCATAAATGTCCTCACTGCCAATAAATAAATAAAATGTCAAAAATTAGTTTAATGGACTAAAATGTTTTAAAAGTTTACAAAACATGAAAGCTCTTTAAATATGGGCAACTTAGGAAAGGAAAATTTAATATAGTCCCTGTAAGGTTTTTTGCTGTTGTTTGTTTTTTTGTTTGTTCTTGTTTGCCTGTAGGCGGTTAAATAAAACACAGGACCTTTTGTATCCTAGACAAGCACGCTACATATTAAACTACATCCCTGTTTCTCTGTGACAATTTGGTTTTTAAATAAAATGCATATATTACTAAAACAGGCACCTAGGAATCTTTGTGCTTAATTTAACTGGGCCCATAGGTACTTTGTATTACCAGGAAAACAAAATCTCACAAGTCAGATGTCCACCTTCACCAGCCCAGGTGAGAACAACAATCCAGGAGAGTGAGGCTACACCCAAGCTTCATCCAGTTAAGACTCAGAGTAATGACAACTGATAAGGACTTTGGACCACCCCCAATGAACGAGAACGGAGGCAATGACAAGGAGAACCACACCTCAACCAGGACTGCTTAATCATAAGTATCTCTTTCCCATGACCCAATTTTTTTTCTCTGCTTAAACCTCATGCTGGAACTAGAAGATGATCTTGAGGGTCCCTGGACCCCTTCTTTCTATGTGTGAGTCTCACTGCTGTCTCTTTAACTGGAGTACTAAATGGGCGGAGCCTAGCCTTGTTGTTGTTGAGCTTGAGCTGGAGTTTTGCCCTAAAAACAATGCTAACATTACTTGTGTTTGTTTTTATTTGGGAAAAAAAAAAAACAAAAACACCTTATCCAGTGATTTTTTTAAAATAGCCCATTTATATTGTACTGCTTTTTAACTAAGATCTTGGGTATTTTTGCAACTGATGTGGCTGCTGAGAATCCAACTGGTGGATGCCCTGCAAGAGCAGTCAGTGCTCTCAACCAGAGCCATCCTCCAGTCCCATCTTACTGCTTTTTAAACTATCATGGGAACCAACCATCAGTTCAGATCTAGCACGCACATCATATGGCTCACAAGATCCTTTAACTCCAGTTCTAATGGATCATTTTTTTGGCTTCCTCAGGTGCACACAGCCTTCGCTAGCACACACCCATGCACATATACTTACACACACACAACATAAATAGTAAAAGAATTAATTTTAAAAAACATAGGGGCTTGCTCAGCAGTTAAGAACACTGGCTGCTCTTCCATAAGATCCAGGTTAGAGTCCCAGCACCCACATCATAGCTCACAAAACTCTGTTAACTCCAGTCCCAGGAAATCAATGCCCTCTTCCAGCCTCTGAGGGCACCACGCACACATTGGGTATACAGACATATTCATGAAAAAAATTCATATACAAAACAATGAATAAAACTTTTTGAAAATATCAAGTATTATAAGCATTCAATTAATAAAACTGTCAGAATTTTATAAACACTCTTACCATCAGTAATACTCTTAGGACACTTAATTCCTTTAAAATACTGATAAATAATTTAAAATATTTTAAAGTACTTTAAAATAGGCATTACACAATGTTAGGATCACACATAACCTGTTGTAAATACATTAAGTACAAATCTTTAAGAAGTAATTTCTTAAGGTTTCTGTAAATAACCTTTCTTACCGTTTTGCCAAACAACCCCCAACCCCACATCATCCCAATATTACCCTATGTATAATTCTAGTTACCTTTTCAAAGCTGAAAAAGTTAGTAGTGTTTCTAAGTGTGTCGCAGACTGTAGATCCCTTTTTCTTATGGAGTGCTGCTGGATATTAGATAAAGAGAGGATATCGTAGTCTGAGAGCAAAGAATCAAGCTTCTCTGAAATAAAGGTAAAAAAGTATTAGAGGCTGGGTAAATAGCTCAGTCGTTTAAGAGCATCTGCTGCTCCATCATAAGGTTCTGAATTCGGATCCCAGCACCCACATCAGACAATTCAAAAACACCTAGTAATAACATCAACTCCATGAGATCTAAGACCGTCTTCTGGCCTTTGGGGGCACCCACACAGACACATTTTTTTTCTTTTCTTTTTTTTTTTAAGGATTATTGAGACCAAAGCAGTGGCTCAGCAGTGAAGAGCACTCACTGATCTTCCAGAAGACCTGGGTTCAGATCCCAGCACTCACATGGAAGCTTACACCCATCTGTAACTGCAATTCCAAGGAGGGGTATTCAAGGCCCTCCTCTGATGTCCATGGGCAACAGGTATGTACATGGTATACATGTATACATCCATACATACATACAACCATGTAAAACATTCATAGACTAAAAGTAAGTAAATCTTTAAGAGATAAAGGCTACCAGAGGCTACCGAGCTGGATGAGCAGTTAAAGCACTTGTCCCTGCACCCACAGGGCAGCTCACAACCATCCATAAATCTAGTTCCAGAACTGGACACCCTATTCTGACCTCCACTGGCACAAAACACACAAACAGTACATATATATACATACATACAGAAAAAAACATTCATACACATAAAGTAAGTAAACAAAGTTTAAAGGTTATTAACACTTATATCTAGTAGTCAACTGTGCCAGACAATAAGCCGAAGTGCCCAAATGCCCAGCACAATAAATCACATATTCTTACAAAAAAATCTGAACCTGTACTTAATGGATATCTAAGTTCAGATTCTTAGTACATAAAAGGTTCGATGCTGCCAAGTTAAATAACTAGTGAAGGAAACATCAGCCACACCTAGAAAGTTAAGATTCCTGCAGAACAAATGACCCAGTTTCTCCCGGAAGAAGGGAGGGGTAAGGAGGTAACAGACTTACAGGAACAGCTACAATGTTGGAATCACTATGGATCATGGCAATCGAGCTAGCTGTGGGAACATACTTAAACACCCAGGGAAATGAGTATGAACTGAGGTTAGATAATAACAATTTGGTACATCTAAATACAACCACATACAAAGAGACTTTAGGATAAAAGACATTTCTAGCATACATGTTTAAAGTGTGTAAGATAAAAGCAGCTGACCCAACATTTTCATTGTCAAACTGAGCTAAATGAATCCCTTATCGGTGGACAGGCAATAAAAAATATAACTGATGTATGTATTAACAGCCTAAGAAACCAAAACCAGGAAAGCAAAGCTTCAACACGAAGTCCCAAACTGAAGCCTGAGTTCCAGACCAGTTTGGGCTTGTCAGAAAGACTCAGTCTACAAAATGAGACTGGTAGTAGCATCACTACCACCGCTGTCCCAACAGACACATCTGCACCTCCCTACTCAGTAGGTGCAAAGAAGGAACTGATTGAGACCCCAGAAGGAAATCAACACCAATTGCTTTACCAGACCAAACCACCATCCAAGAAAACAAAGATGCACTGTCCCCAGCTCAGAAAAAGTACAAGTGAGATTGAAAACCAGACCTACTATAATAAAGCATATGCCATTCCTTCCCACATTTTCCTTTTGTTTGGGTTTGGTTTCTTGAGACAGGGTTTCTCTGTGTGGCCTTGGCTGTCCTGGACTCACTTGGTAGACCAGGCTGGCCTGGAACTCACAGAGATCCATCTGCCTCTGCCTCCCCAATCCTAGGATTAAAGGTATGTGCCACCACAATGAGCCTCATCTCCACATTTTCAATCAATCAACAGACTCTCTGCTGTTTTCCTCCAGAATAAGAACTAAGTTTTTAACTTAAAAATATTTTTAGAGGACAATATAGAGACTCTAGTCTCTTAAAACTGCCTAAAAGGGGGCTGGAGAAATGACCTCAGTACTTAAGAGTGCTTACTGCTCTTGCAGAGGACTCAGGCTCTGTTCCCAGTACCCACAGGGTGACTCACAACCATATATCACTCCAGTTCAAGGGGATCTGATACCTTCTCCTGGCCTTCACAGACAACAGGCACATATTTGATGTGCATACATACATGCAAACACTCAAACACATAAAATAATGTCTAAAATATGTGAGTTGAGATTTTCCTTTCCTTTCAACAATCATGGGCATTCAAATCATTCCAATGGACCTAGAATTCCTAAGAAGAGCAACAGCCTATACTGTTTATTGTTACACAGTAAAAAACGTAAATTAAAAAAAAAACATCAAAAATGTCCAATTATTTTATGCCAACCAAAAATTAAGAATAATTTTATTTGGGAGACAAGAGTAAACTATGTAGTTATACTGCCCAGGAACTCAAGCATCCCAAGTGCTAGGACTATGAGCATTTTGGTTTGCTTGTTTGTGTTTCTAAAACAGGGCCTCACTGTAGCCCAAATTAGCCTCCAATCTACAGCAATTCTCCAGACTCAGCCTTCCAACTGCTGGGACTAAAAACATGAGCCAGCAAACCCATCTTTTAAGAGAGACAGAGACAGAATCTTCTACAGTCCAGGATGACCCTGAACAGGCTGTATAGAATAGACTAGCATGATCTTGAACTACCTCACCTCTCAGGTACTGCGATTACAAGCTGCCTTTGCTATCACATCCATCCTTAAAAAGTAATTTTTAGGGTTGAAGAGACAGCTCAGAGGCTAGGTGTAACTGCGTAACTCTAAATCCTTAGGACCTGGCACTCTCTTCTGACCTCCAAGGACACTAGACATACAAGAGGAACACAAACATGCACACAGGCATAACAATCACATGCATAAAATTAAAATGAATAATTTTTTTAGAAAATGAATCAACCCAAGAGCATAACTCCTAAATATCCACAATCAGTGTGTTCATCAACTCATTCGCCTGCTGCTATACTATGGCCAAGCACTAAATGAAGTCCACACTGAAAGACAGCAGCAATGGAACAAAGTCCTTGTCCAACTGAACATTCATTTTAGTATGAGACACTGATATCACAAGAGAAAGCCAAGCCTGGATCACACAGCTATAATGCAGACATGTCACAGACTAAGACAAGAAGAACATGGGTTTCAGGACAGTGGGAGCTACTTAGCAAATTCCAGGCCAGTGTGGGAGAGATCACAGTAAGAGACTGTCTCCAAAAAAGGGAAGGGAGGGAATAAAGAGACATAATAGAGGGAGGGAAGGAAAAGAGAGGGAAGGGGGGAATCCAGAAGGAACAGAGTATTGGGGTGTGGACACTAAAGCAAGATAAAAGTACTGAACAGCCTCTACAGAGTGGTCAGAGACAATACCTTACTGTTAATAACGCTTAAGGTAAGCCTGAGGGAAGGGAGAGCGCAGGCATACTGCTACCAGGTCAAAGTTAATCAGCATTCATTCAAGGTTCTGATTAAAAATTCACAGTGGCTAGTCTGTGTTTACAAAATTTACTTTTAAAGTTAATCCAGAAAAAAGGCTGTTTTAGATCTCAATCACTTTTCTAACACAAGATAGATGATGGTGACTTGACAGTACAATCATACAGCTTAGGGGCACAGTGGAAAACCTTCAAGAAACTTGCCCCATGGTCAACCAACTTGTTCACCAATTCCCAAGCTTTCTCTACCACACTATCTCCATAGAACATCCCAAGAGTGTATTTCTCCTCCAAATGAGGACGAAATAGGCTCAGAGAAAAGTAAGTAACATACTTACCATCCCAAACCCTGATGCCACTGATGTGCCAAAGAACCAAAGGATGAAAGAAAAATAAAGCCAAACCCTAGTGCAACACAACAGTGGGTTTTTTAAAATTCTTTCCAGGCTGAAATACTCAAGCTTTACTGGAACGGTGCTTTAGAACTCCTCTGAAAATAGCCTAGCCCTCCTGGGGTTATTTACTTCTTTGGTTTTTGACTTTTTAGCGTTTCAAACAAATGTGACATTTCTACCCTCTGAAGTTTAGAGCTCTCTGTATCTTTCTTCCAACACTTTTGATTATGACATATCTTACCTCACCAGTTAGGATATGGCCCAAAAGGGGCCATGTTTTATTCATCGCAGCATCTTTTTCTCAAGGTGTTACCTCACAGGGCCCCACGTTGGCCTTGAACTCCTGATCCTGCATCCACCTCCCTAGTGAAGGCCACCACACCTGGCTCTCATAGTATTTTACCAAAAAATATTCAGCAAGAAGCTTGACCCATCAGGCTTATGTTCACAAACTACAAGAATTCTCAATGCTGAGAACCCAATGCAATCCTTTGGCATTCAACTGCCTTGATACAGGCTGGTACATGACCTCAGTTTCATTTCAGATAATAATCGCACCTACTGACTTAGAAACCTGACTTCAATATTATACTTTCCCTGTCAAGAACATGGATCAAGGAGGGCTCCTCAGAATGTGGTCCCCCCTACACCAGCAGCATGAGAGGCTGAAAGCTTGTTAGAAATACAAACATTCAGAAATCCTCAGTGTAGGGTCCAGCAGTTCATGTTGCCTTCCAGGTGATTCTCATGTGAATTCAAGTCTGAAAACCACTAAACAAGTCTGGCAGAATGAGGGCTCCTACTGGTAATCTCATTTACTGAAAGCTGAGGCAAGAGGATGGCTGGAGTTCAAGGCCACCTAAACAAAGAAGGCCACCTGCCCTCAAAGGCCTCCTTGCCCCAAACCCGGGGGGGGGGGGGGGTGAGGCGGGGAGAGAAAACCACTTAGGCTAAAGAAGTAAGCAAATGGCTAAAGACAATGCTTGCAGCTAGAGACCAAGCACCTGATACAGAATCAAGCCTGTGGGAACCATTCCACATAGGGCTCTTTTCACCCTCTCCCTTAAATTTATAGCAAGGCTCAGCAAGCACCTGGCTCCTTTTTTACAGGTAATACTCAAATGTTTAATAGCCAGCTCACCCAGTTCACCTTTTATTCAGCCTGACATGCTTTTAAAAACAAGAACTAGAAACAAGGTTAGCTAAACTGGAAAACAGACAAACTGTAGA